AGATCAGCCCTGAGCTAACATCCATGCTAATCCTCCTCTTTTTCCTGAGGAAGACCGGCTCTGAGCTAACATCTATTGCCAATCCTCCTCCTTTTTCTTTCCCCCAAAGCCCCAGTAGATAGTTGTATGTCATAATTGCACATCCTTCTAGTTGCTGTATGTGGGACGCGGCCTCAGCATGGCAGGAGAAGCATTGCGTCGGTGCGCGCCGGAGATCCCAACCCCGGGCCGCCAGTAGCAGAGCGCGCGCACTTAACCGCTAAGCCACGGGGCCCGCCCAAAAAATCAATTTAATTAAAATGTCAGTGTCGTCTTAGCCAAATGAGAACAGTGGACCTTTACATACAGAAGACCTTTACAAGGTATCTTTTATACAAAGCTATTTTCCACTAAAAATGATTCTTCCCCTAATTGAACTTCTGCTTCTCATCTCTTAAAAAAAAGATTCCTGCCAAAGGTATTCTGTTAGTTTATTAGAAAATGAAGTCCTCCATTAATTCATATAACAGGTAAAGGGTATCAAATAATCTAAGCATCTACTGAGACTAATGGAAAAGTATGACAGCTCTACTGTCAAAAAAATCACAACAAAAGAAGGAGCATCTCCAGGATCCACTCAGATTCCCCAACAGGACCAGGAACAAAGTAACATTTTTTTCATGTCATTAATCTGTGCACAGATATGTGCATGCACGCACACATACACACACACTATACCGGTAAATGGAGAGGGAAGGTTCTTAGCAATCAAAAAGAGTGCCAAAAATGTGGACTAAGATTATCAAATGAAACAATCTCTTTTAAATAATGCCTAAAAATTCCTTAATTCATGAAACAAACCAACACAAACTGATATGATATACAGTTCTCTGTTTGGCTAGTATGTATTATCACAGGCTTCAGGCAATAACAACAAATCTCCCTAAAAAATACTATCTGTAATTGTTAAACAATGTTGGTGCCTTTCATTTCAGAAATTTTCTCTTCATATGTACACCTCTCCCCACCCTCCTCTCTCCCACCCTTCCTCTGCCCCCCATATACACATGCACATATGCATAAACACATATGTGTATATTATGTTACACATACAAAAAACATACACTCTTTGCCAAAAATACAAACCGTTCAAAAAGTTTCAATTTTTTTTAAATTACCTGATGTTTTGCCAGAAATAATTTCCCTGTATTTTTTTGATAAAGTGTAAATGTAAATATTCTTCAAGATCTAAATATCCCTTTGTGAGTATCTACACTTAGAGGAAGATATAGATATGTAATTTAATATATAACTTCGTGGGGAGGATTACAGCGATCACTATTTTGTTAAATTTTTACAATATTATTTTTATAATCAGAGAAAAACAACAATAAAGCTAATAGAAAAGAGACCATTTTTGACACTTACTATGTAGAGATACTGTGGTAAGCTCATGAAACTCCACAAATTTTAATTCCCTTTGTGTACATATTTGATGTCAAACAGTGAAATGGTGAAATGTTATACTTTAGAACAATAATAATTGTTAGGAAACTGGCATATTATAAGCTAAATGAGTGTTCAGAAGGTTATGTACACATGCCTCAAGTCAAACAGCTAAACCACATGAAGTTAACATTACATAAAAAATACACAATATGTGTCAGAGAGATTTTTTCCTCTGTTGTTATACAGGAATATACAGGTTTTCCAATGATTGATTTTTTCAAGAAACTTTTAAAATTATGACTTCTATTCTGACAAATGTCATTCTGACATATATCACCTCTGATCTAAGAACCTTGACACCAAAAGCTTGTTCTCCTACAGGTCCCAATCAAAGAAAAGCTTGACATCTGTGGTTTTACCTACAAAATTCCAAGGTTTCTTAGACTACGCTGCCATATAGCTGAAGTGTGATTCAAAGGCAAACAGTTCCATTCTTTATTTACAGATATTAGAAATAAGCCTTTCATTACATCCTCCTTTTGTCCTTACTCATGCAAGCAAGAGTGTATTTATATTCTCAGATCTTAGCAGAAAACATGGATTATACATAGAATGAAGACCTAACAACAACCTTAGAGGAAAAGTGATAAATACCAAGTTCTAAAAGAACTTAGAAAACTACACATTTACTTAGCATCAATAAGAATGACAACTGAATGGAGTGAAACACATAAGTGAATTCATAACTTATGTTTTAAAAAGCATTTGTCACCTTTGGAAGATGCTATGGAACCAATTCACTATTGTGAAAACTGATAAATGAAAGAAAACAATCAATTCCTACAGGAATCGTACAGAGGGTAACCAAATAGTTTATGAAAGAAAATTTTCTCCATAGAAGTACCCCAGCTAATAAATGAAGAAGAAATTAACAGAATTAGAATATAACCATTTGTAACCTATAAGGTAATAACTGATATGGGCAACAATCATCAATGGCTATTAATATCACAAAAAAGATACAACCAGATATTACGTGTCTCCCAATAAAATTATACATTTGTAGTCTTGCCCCACACCAAAAAAAAAATTACACCTGAATCTGATCAAGCCTCTAAATTCAACTATCAATTTCCAGAAATAAAGACTATATGCAAAAATACTACCGTTACCATCATGGTGAAAAAGTGAATTGTTTCTCCCTAAGATAAGGAATAAGACAATGGGCCGCCCCGTGGCTTAGCGGTTAAGTGCGTGTGCTCCGCTGCTGGTGGCCCGGGTTCGGATCCCGGGCGCGCACCGACGCA